TAAATTGTGATAATCGTAATTAATAATCGCAATTACAATTTCAAGGGAATAATCGACAATTATGATTTTTGTCATAATCGTGCAGCCCTATGTGGAAGGCGTAGGACCAAGAAATGTTCGTCCAATCAAAACAAGCGTTTTAATATGCTTTCCTACCTGCCTGTGAACGTATGTATTAGCATACCTCTGCGCACACGGTTCGCGCAGACAGGATACGTCATCAGCGCGTTTACGCACACTGTGCAGACAGAGCGAGAATGGCAGATAAACATCAACAACCCAAACTTCCTTCCTGGTTTTGTAGTACTTTTACTAACTGTACTATAAAGTTTTCTCACTGGTGAATGACACATGATGTATGGCCGATGATATTTTTGATATCTAGAGAGCATAGTGTCTGATATAATGCATATATATATATATATATATATATATATATATTAGTACAGTTTATTGACTTAAGATGACATGAACCCTTGTTTCACAGAATATTTAGAAAAACAGTTTGACAACAGAACTTGTATATTATCATGTCGTTATAGTGTATGTCTTGTCTTAAACTTCTTTAACTTTATAACTTAAACTGTGTGTTTGTGAGAGCTCTGTGTTGCACTGAAAATGAATTGAATGTGACTTGAACCTTATGTTTGTTGATCTCTGTGCTCGGGGGGTCCGCTGAATGAGTTTTTGCATGCCAGTGTGACGGGAACCTAAAGTGACACAGAAACAGCTCCCCTTTATCGGATACTCCCACTGCACCAGGCTCTCCAGGAGACCCCTGCACTCCAGACATGAAGCATGCGTTCTGTAGGGATTTGCAGGAGAGAGATTCCAATTAGGGAAAATGCGTCAAGATATTACTTCCAGGTCATGGAGTCCTTTGCTGCGACCAGCTATAAAAAGTCTTGTGCTGGATTCACACTGTATTTTGCTTGTGAAACTTACAGTTTTGTCAATCCATGATGCACTTTTTGCTGTTTTCATACACTGCCACTCAATAGTTTGTGGTCCGTAAGAGTTTTTGAAAGAAATTAATATTTTAATTCAGCAAAGATGCATTAAATTAATCAAAAGTGACAGTAAAGATATTTATAATATTTATAAAAGATTTCTGTTTCAAATAAATGCTGTTCTTTTGAACTTTCTATTAGAGCCCGACCGATATGGGTTTTTTAATAATGGAGGCAGGGCAGTAAAGTTGAAGTTTATTCAATCCAGTTCCATTCAACTTTATTCCGTTTAAGTTTATTTCACTTCGGAACATTCATTCACGGATTTGCGCTACTGTCTTCACACACAGACGAAACTTACTAGAGAAGTGTGACATAATATACCTCTGTAAATAAATACAATATAAATTCACATCTCGCGCACTTTAATGCCCTTTGAATGTAACGTGTACGTTCCCTTGGAACTGTGCGTCAGATGTCATGTCACTTAATGTTAAAACTGCTGCTGCGCTTGAATGCTGCTGCCTGAACAAGAGACCTCCTTACTGAAGTGAAAGTGTTGACTGGAAAAGTACTGTATTTTTGATCAAATAAATGTGGCATAAGCAAGTTCTTTCAAAAACAAAAATCATGTTGACCCCAATATTGTAAAAAAAAATATTTATACATTTAATTTCAGCACATTTTTGTACATTAAACAATGTTGTTAAATTGCTATCATTAAATCATGTATCTGCATTCTAACAACTGCTGTACTTTTTATATATCCACATCATCGACTATTGAAAAAAGCATCAGCCACTTTGGTCAACCATATATCCATATTTCACATTAAAGATTTTGGTTACATATTTTGGAGCTAGTTTATTAAAATAAATTCTTAGAAAACTTTTCTGCCTTGTTTGTGTCAGTCCTGATAGAGTTGACATTTTAATCTTGTTCCTCAGCCTTTTAAAAAGGCATAAATACCTGGAAAAATCCATAAAACTGAAGATAATGTGTCCTTTGTATCCTTTTCCTGATCCTATTTTTGGTCTATTCTACTACCTAGTAGAAATCATAAAGTGCATTTTCTGCTTGAAGTTTTGTAGCTTTTAGTCTGTTGAGTGTGTAATCAATATACTAGCTAACTAAAGTTAATTTTAGCAGATATACGCATATAAAAAAAGACCAGAAATATTGATGACTCACCTTGAAAAAATTTAATTACAAATATCACCTACTTTTGATGTCATGATGTAACATAACTACATTCTGTAAGGCCTGTTAGCTGTTTAAAAGTAAATGTATTATGCAGTGTTTTTTTTCTTTTTCTTTGTGTTTTCTGTGAGCAGAAGTTTATTGAATTTGAAGATTCCCAAGAGCAAGAGAAGAAGGACTTGCAGAACCATCTGGAAAGCCTGGCATCACATTCTCGTCAGCTGGAGCTGAAGATCAAGAACTATGCTGACCAGAGTGAGAATCACCTGCTTTATATTCCCTCTTCTCATTCAATCTGACACTTCCATGATCTGACCATTTTTTTTAAACCTTCATACATATGACTTCTACATGTTATATGTCCATGCATCTGCTCTAAATGTCCTTCTGTTTTAGTATAATAGCTATAGTCCATAGTTCTGTACACTTTAGCTGTTATGTGAAGTATTGGTTAAGTGTTCTTCACTCATGGCTCATAATAGAGTACTGTCCCATCATTCAATCTGCTCTCTCTCTCCTCAAACCATTACTGACCCTATTAATGGATCATTGATAATGAACAGTGGCCAATTTGCACAGCAAAGATTTGACAATTTCTTTCGCTTCAACGTATAGCTGTTTGATTCCTCATGGCTGAGTCATTATTGCGCAGATTGCCACTAAAGTGAAGTAGTTGGGTGTTAGTTATCTAACATTAATGTGATTTGCAAGGGCTGTTTGCTGTTAATTTGCGTCAGCATTCAACAGATTCATTTGCCGTATTGTTTTCTGTCCAAATTTTACTAGTATAACCAAAGTCCCTTTAAAGGTGACCTATTATGCCCCTTTTTACAAGATGTTAAATAAGTCTCTGATGTCCCCAGAGTGTGTATGTGAAGTTTTAGTTTCAGCGGCTCAGATTTCGGGAGTAAAGGGAGCGAGCTATGTGGATTAATACATCCAGCAACAGAACACCTAAAACGCTTAGGAGACATTCTCGTCAGTGCAGCAATGGCGGACTGTGTACAACTTGCTGTGAACTCGCTCAGGGCGGTTCTATGTTAAAACGGCAGTGTCTGTCAGAGTTTTAGCTCAAAATACCCTACAGATAATTTTTTTATAGCTTGTTGAAATTGCCATTTCATTTTGTATGAGCCAAAAAGCGCTGTTTTTTCGAACCGGTGTCGTGCCGAATTCTGCACCCTGCCAGATTATTTATGAATTACACAGA